AATATTAACCATTTCCTTATAAGGAAATATTCAGCATTTATTGACCGAGCAGCCTGTATTAATGTCTATTTAAATATTTTTTCAGGAAATTAGGTTCTTAATTCTAGTAGCTGTTATACTTCTTTTTAGTATTAATGGGAGTTTTCTTCTCAAACTTTTGTTCCAAGCATTGTGTCATATCAACACCATTCTTTTCTTTTCGAGTCATATGTGCTATCCATTTTAGTTATTGCCGTTAATGAAAGTCATCAAGTGATGTGATTTACAGTTGGGGGGCAGATAAATATTCGTACACATACAAATTTTTCATGTATTCTATTTCCAACTAGTGAATAAACATACTTTTCATATAATTAACTGTACACAGATGTATAACTAAATATGCAGAGAAAACAAAAAGAAATTTGATATAATAGAAATAAATCGCATTTATCCATTTTAATGGGTGAAAAAAGTATTTTTACATTACAAAAAAGAACAAATAATCTTCATTTAATACTTTGTAGCTTGGCCATTATTCACTTCTACAGCAAACAACCTCTTCTTGTAGTTCTCAATTAATGATTTGCAAATTTTAGCTGCGATTTTGTTCCATTCTTCTTCATATATGCTCTTCAGATCCAGGATGTTGGAGCTCTTGATTAGATTTGAATTTTCAAATAACACCACAGATTCTCAATTGAGTTTAAATCTGGAGACTGACTTGACCATTTCAGGATATTTACATTATTTTCAGCAGGCTATTTCTTTATAGATTTTGCAGTGTGCTTAGGATCATTATCTTGTTAGAAGATCCAATCAGGAGGAAGTTCAAGATTTTCAACCAAAATCATTAAATTTGCTTCCAAAATATTTTGATATGATGTGGTATTCATTCTACCATCTTTTACTGATATGTTGCCAGCAACGTTTGTAGAAAAAAAACATCTCTAATCCATGATGCTTCCACCAGCAAATTTCACTGTTTGAACTGTGTTCTTTTGTTTGAAGGTATCGCCATCTTTTCTCCATACTTGCTTTCTAGAATTACATCCAAACAAATCACTTTTGGTTTTGTCTGTCTATAATACTCTTTCCCAATACGATTTTCATCTTTTATGTTCACGAACGAATTTCGTCCCGGCATCTCTGTGGCTTTTCAATAGCAGTGTATTTTTCCGAAGGGAGCATGATTGTAGATTTTTCCTGTGAATTCCAGTGCTTATTGTCCGTTTAGTGATACAGATTCCTGATGAAAACAAATCATCTTGAAAACTCTTGACGAGTAGCCATCAGATTTTATTTAATTTGACGCTTTAATTTACTCAAAGATCATGAAGAAATCTTTCGTGGAACACCTGTTCTTCTTTGGTTTTGAGTTTTTTTATACCTTGCAATGAATGAAATGTTAGTAAATGGAATATTAAGGTTGTCTGTAATTTTCTTGTAACTTTTACCTTCTTTTCAGATCTTAATAATCAATTCTTTTTACGAATTTGTCATTTCTGTACCTCTTGCTATGATGAAAACCTTCTTGCACGAATATCAATTACAGAATTTTTTTGTATTTTGTAGGCTAAAAATAACTAGTGTTAACATTATTGAAACATTCTAGAATATTCCATTTGAATAATCTAGAGTATTAAAGCAATTTGAAAATTTTAAAATCTGAAATTTGCATTGTACGAATACTTTTTCATCCATTAAAATGAATAAATGGGATTTATTTCTATTAAACCATTTTTCCGTTTTCTATGCATATTTAGTTATTATGCATCTGTGTACAGTTACTTATATGAAAATTATTTTTATTCATTAGTTGGAAATATAATAAATGAAAAATTTGTATGTGTACGGATATTTGTGTCCCCCACCACTATTGTATGTTATTTGGTACGATTCTTATTGGTTCTGTATCCAGAGTCTAAAATATGGGCTTCACCAAGATCCACAGACTTCACGCGTTCAAAACGATTCATAACGATTGCTCTTAGAAAGCAATTGCATACAGCTAACATATTAGATATTCCTGAACCAATTTAGCACTATGCATGTTATCCATATCAAAGTCTCGATTTGACGAAGCTATTTAACCCTTTAATCCCTGACTTCCTGAACAATTTTAACCTTCCTGAGTCAAAATTCGCAAATAATTGGGATGTAATGTTTCACGGTAGATATAAAAATACTTACAAGCGTTTACCCACCGTTCAACCGGTAGCTGGGCATTAAGTCATTTTTTTCTACCACTGTTTAACTGGTGGCTGGAAATTACGTCATTTTCTCTACCACCAGTAAAGCAGTGGTCAGAGCTCAAAAGGTTAAGAATATGACTCGAGTTTTCAGGTTAATATTTTGGTTTTGTAATGTTTTTGTATTGTTGGGCGAAGCTAGAACTCGAGCAGCCTATTCTAAGGCCAAATTCCTTGGCTCCCCCGCTAAATATTATAACCGATCCATACGCATAAGTATTAAAAGTGTTTGGTATTTACTAATTGCACAACCTGAAAAATAACGGAAAAACACACAGCGAACGATTTCAAATTAGATTACGCCATAAAACGACGTCTTTAAGAAAGAAAAAATTTAAAATAAGTTGACCTAAAAAATTAACGTCTTTTTAGAGAAATTAACCTTTTTTAAGAATTATCCGATTTCATTAAATAAATTCAATACTTCTATCAACTCTGTTGAGGAACGGAGACCACATCTTTGAAATCCTGGGCCTAAAAGATAAGATAAACATTTAATTTTATTAAATCTCTTATATATATATATATATATATATATATATATATATATATATATATATATATACACCAAGGGAATTCAGAGCAGCATGAATCATTCCAGCTCTTATCTTAAATAACAACTTAAAAGAGACTGTTTGACCAACACAAGGTCTGACCAAAATTCATGTTAAAAACTAAACAAAAAAAAACAAAAGAAAACTACAGATAAAAGTTCATTTTTTCCATCGTAACATTCATTTCTGTAGTTCACTGCTACGAGCAAGCAGAATTTTTCTTCTCCTGATGATGGCCATTTTGGCCGAAACTAGTCGAGGAATCTAAATGAAATAATAATAATAAAAACAACAGTGTATCTGAAGATATTAATTTTTTTATATTTTTTATTGTTCAATATATATATATATATATATATATATATATATATATATATATATATATATATATATATATATATATATATATATATATATATATATATATATATATATATATATATATATATATATATATATATATATATATATCAGTGGACCCTAAGATCAACATCGATTGGTTGCGAAATTCTGTTTCTTGCTTATAGACAATCGTCAGACCTGAAGATCGCGTTGAAGTCTTTAACAGACTGTTGCCACTCGTTGTTGACCTTATGACCCACTTTTATATTTATACACACTCCATCCCTGATATTCCACGCTTTTACTCATTTTTATGGCATAACTTAAAACCATTTTTATCATAAATCATTTTGATATATATATATATATATATATATATATATCAAATGATGATCAGTATGGATAATTCCAAGAAGGATATAAATCGAATGTAAAGGATAAATTGGACTCTATTTATCCATTTATTAGTGTAATGTTGGTCTGAAGAGTTGTGCAATAGCTCGTGAAATAAATTATAACCTCCTGATTGATTTGTAAAGATTTCTTATTCATTATATATATATATAAATATATATGTGTGTGTGTGTGTGTGTGTGTGTGTGTGGATAATACTTATTTCCTAAGCTTATATTAAGCCGACACAGGGTCACAAGAATAAAGCACCTTGGAGAATCGAATTCGTTTCTATATTTAATGGTGTTTTTTTCTAGATGTTGTACAAGGCCAGTGAAGATCGAATTCACTCTGTCAGCTTTGGGCCATGCGTGATACACGCTTACGCAATCATGTATCTTTCGATACATGACTGACGAGGCAGATTTCTTTTCTCGCAGCAGGTTGCCATTTCTTTCTTCGGTAGACCAGTTGCCATCCAAGGCTATAGAACACAGTCTGTCCTGATATTTACCCATAGCTGGAAGGGAGAAGAATAGGATTTATACCTTTCCCGTAAGTGAACGTAATGGATTCGACTGGAATTCGAACTCGGCTCTCCAATTCCTCAATCCATTACTACACCGTACTTCCCTATTACGCAGTCTTTATTGTTTCTATAATGAATGATTTGCTATTTAAACCCGGTAACATTCATCCTATGAAGCTTCACTATATTAAAAATAGGCGAACATTTTTCATTCATTTTTGACAAGTACCTTATTAATTCTGAATGTTAGACATTAATAAAAATTGCGAAATTGAATACTTAATAATTACTTTTTCCTTATCGATAGAAATATATTATTAGTAGAGAAATTGACTAAGGCTAAAAGTGTGAATGGTGGAGTAGTGGTAATGTCAGTGGGTAGCGTTAAGAAGAAATTAAGTTGAAAAAAAGCAATTTGAATGAAAATACAACTATAAATTGTATTGCAATGATTTTCCTAGAGATGTTTGCTGTATCACACTATGTACAATAAGGAGTATAGATAACGATTGACTATTGACGTGATGTGGTTAAGATTTTTGTGTTCATGGAAACATCCAGGCGAAGTTATGTACCATAAAGTTTCAGTTAAAACCCTCCCACTTAAATTTGGAATACGGAGGAAATTAAGGTAATTGAACTCCTTGAATCGTTACTAAAAACTACAAGGGATAGGAAGTTGTGAAGAGCTACAAGGGATAGGAAGTTGTGATCACCTATGTCCTGAAGTGACACAACACATAAAAAATCCAGATTCCGTCCTATCCCGTTGCTATTAATATCACCACCATTTTCGTATGATGATTCTTACGCCGCTAATATTTTATTGATACATTGAAACTCCTTGTATTTTCCTTTTTTCTGTTGTTAGTATTCATCTTCTCTCTTTTTTACTCGGCAGGGTTTTCCTTCAGTATGTCTTTCATTTAATCTTTCTGTTTTCTTATTCAGGTTTTTATATTATTATTATTATTATTCTCGTCTCCCTCTTCACTCTCTTTCCTTTGTATTCTTATTATAACCTTTCCTCTTCTTCTTCAACTTCGCTTCCTGCATCACTTTCTTGATATTTTTGTTCTTCTTCTTCTTCTTCTTCTTCTTCTTCTTCTTCTTCTTCTTCTTCTTCTTCTTCTTCTTCATTCTCCGCCATTTTTTTAACCTACTTAATTAGTTTATTTAATGTGTTTCTATTTCTCTATCGTTTTAATTTTTCTCCTCTTCGTTTCTCTTATCCATCCTCCGTCCCAAAAGCTTTTTTACGTCTTCTTTTTTCTGTTTTATCTTTCTTGATTTGTTGTTTTATCTTCTTTTCTTTTCTTTACTCCTGCTTTTCTATTTTTAATCCACCCCAGTCTATTCAAGTTTTCTTCTTCTCTTTCTTTTCTATTACCTACTCTCATTTCCTTTTCATTTTAAGCTCAGTAATTTTCTTATTCTGTTTTCCCTAATAACATTTATTTCTCCCTTTTACCTCTTCTTCTCCCCTTCCTCTATCTACGTTTTCAATCTTACTTTCTCACCTCCTTCCTCCTATAGATACGGTCTTTTGTCTCTCTTTTCTCATTTTTCTCTTTCAACTACTACATTCTCTTGTTCCCCATATACCCCTCTCTTCTATTTCTCTTCTCCCCGCCTTTTAATCTCTTCTCCCTCTTTTTATTTCCATCTCCTTTTCTCCTGCGCCCTTTAAGCTGTCTTCTCTCTCTTTCCTCCGCTTCCCATAATATTTCTCCTCATTCTATTCCTCTTTCCCTCTTTCATCTTTTTTCTTCCGTACTCTGTAATCTTCTATGACTTTTCTTCCGCCCCCTTTAATCATTTTTTCTTTCTATTGCTCTTTCTTTAACTCTGCACCCCACCATCTTCCTTGTCTTTATATTCCTTTTCCCTGTCTCCTCCTTTTCATCCAATGACCTACCCTTTCTTCTAGACTAGCCTTTATCTTCTACCTTCTACTCTCCACTTTCCTCCTACTGTCTATTGTGAGCGACCTAATGCGTTTCCTTTATCGTTTTCCCTGCGCTTTCCTATCGCCAGTGCACAGCCCTGAATAAGACCAGCCGAGCGTGCTAATGTTGTACCTTTCCTTCCGCCAACCACTAACAAATTACTAACGGCCATGCTGTGTCACACCTTATGAGAGTTTTAACGACATCTGACCGAAACGATATAAAAGGCAAGGCAACGTTCTGCACAAGACAAAGCTGCGAAGACCAACCAACCAGCAACACAATACCTATGCACCTTTGTTTTCCGTCCTTTACTGAGAGACACGATAAAAGTAGAGACTTCGATCAGCCATAATAAACACATTTGAAGTTTTACAATTTGGAAGCCATATTTATTGTTATCATTTATTTATTTTGTATAATTGTCATCGCAGAGATTTCTCTGATTCCTGTCATTTTACTCTCATTATTATTATTATTATTACTGTTATTATTGTTATTATTATTATTATTATTGTTATTGTTATTATTATTATTATTATTTCTGTAAATTCGCACCAGATGTCTGGAGGTTATCGTTGAAGATTGAGTGGATGCTTTTTGAAAATGCCGACATCTTTCTTTGTATCGATACTGAACTAAATACTCTTATAGTTTTAAATTCTTCTTGGAATATCAAATTTCTACCGTCTCAATTGTAGTGTTTCTTAAATTCTCACAAGTGCATCAACTATTATAGTAATGGCCTCAAACTTTACGTTCCACATATTTGTATCTGTTCAGATAAAGCTTTTTACGTCTTTGCTCATTGGTCTGCTAGCACAGCCATATTATTATTATTTTTATTTTCTTTGATTTCTGGCGTTTACACATTTCTTTCCGGATCCCGCCCAAGGATCTAAGGTTAGAAATGGCGTCATGACACTTTCCACTGACAAAAAAAAAAAAAAGAATTAAATTACATAGATAAAGCCCTTCGTAAGGAGTGGGCTGTACTTGTCAGAACAATTTTTTGTATCTCCTTGAGGCATGGACTTCCAGGAATCCCTTCAATTAGTCTACTGCAATCTTTTCCAACCAATCCTAGGGCTCCAACTACAACAGTGATTGTTGATGTTCCCATATGCCACATTTTCGAGATTTCTATTTCAAGGTCCTTGTATTTTGACAACTTTTGAATATCTTCAGAGATATATTGCAGTCAGCAGGGACTGCCATATCAATAAGGAGGCACCGTTTTTGTTTGTGGTCTTTAATAACAATATCTGTCCGGTTGGCCTTGATTGTTCTGTCAGTGTGTATTGTGTAATCCCATAGAATTGTAACAAGTCCTATCTCCGTAACCGGGTCTGGGTGGTGTTCATACCAGTTTCTTTCAGTTTCCTTCCCGTAGAAGTTGCAGATTTTCCAGTGCAGATATTGGCCCACTCTGTCATATCGGGTTTTATATTCAGTGGGTGCCAACACCGTACAACCTGATACAAGATGATCAATCGTTTCTGGATATTTATCACAGAATCTACATTTTGGGCTGACACAATATTTTAGTATATGTGCTTGATAATTCATAGTTTGCAAGCATTGGTCCTGCGCAGCATTATTCCCTTTGATTTCTGCTGTAAACAGATTTCATTCCGGGTCGTAACCAGAGACCAAAGGTCAGAAATGTCTTCATGGTATTTTCCACTGATCATTTTTGAAGAAAATCACATATTTTGCATAGATAAAGGCTCTCGTAAGATGTGGGCTGTACTCGTCAGAACATTTTTTTTGTATTTCTTTATGGCACGGGGTACCAGGAATTTCTTCAATTAGTCTATCGGAATCCTTTCTAATCAAACCGAGGGCTCCAACTACAGCTGGAATGATTGATGCCCTTATGCGCCACATTTTCGCGATTCCCACTTCAAGATCCTTGTATTTTGTTGGTTAAGATCTTCAAAGATACATTACAATCTGCGGGGATTGACATGTCAATAAGAAAGCACATTGCCTCATTATCATTATTATTATTATTGTTGCTATTATTATTATTATTATTATTATTATTATTATTATTATTATTATTATACTCTTTAACTTTCTGATCAGTAGATTCTCTAGTCTTGTCGAATCATTACCCGTGATCTCCAGTATGCTAATGGTGATATTAGCTGTTTCCTTGTAAAGTAACATTTGGTATTCATTGACTGCGCAGATTAAGACATCGTAACAAATTCTATTTGGACAAATTCTGATACTAAATGATACTTAACACCAGTAGTGTTTATATATTCTGTACATTGACAATATTCTTCCGGGTTGACGTGCAGTTCTACACAATGCTATTTTTAAACTCTTGCAAACAGTGATTACCAGGGGTCAGGTTAATGTTGTTATCTGTACTTTTTTTGATAGTACCCAAAGACTCTTATTATCATAGGAATAACAATAGCTTTTAGGTACCGAATTTCTTGATTTCAAGATCTTATATTTCCTTACTTTGTTCTATTATTTAACAAATATTTTTTTTGATTCATGGTACAGCCATATATATATACTAGCAGCAATATCCAGCTGGTCGATCAGAAAAAGCGTTCAATTAGAATGGAGCAAAAACAACATCATGTTTAGATGTAACAGATTCTATCTTCAATTATTTTAAAGTACTTTCATAAAAAAAAAACATTCTAAATAAATACAATTACTGGTATAACAGAAGTAGTCTGTATTTATTCAATCGAAAATTGACATGAAGAGGTAAAACAGGCAACATGAAGACCCACTTCAGACCAGAATTATTTTTGGAGTTTTTGAAATTCAGTTTGTCAGTGTGCTACCAAGGATATAAAAAAGATACATTTATAAAGTAATTGTTAAGTTTTCTGATAATTGGTTGAAAGATCAACGAAAAATCAGAACGAAAATTTTTTTTCGCTATTTACGCGGATTTTCACTATATGAGTGTCAACTTAAATGATTGTTAAACAATCAACTTATTGTTGGCTACAACTGAGTGAATTTTGTATTAGATTGCTTGAAAATTGAAAGAGTTTTTAGTTTAAAATTTGTATTGAAATCGATTTGTGTTGAAATCGATTTTTCGTTTTTCGCTAAGCGCAGTGGCGTAGAAATAAAAATGTGGTACGGTTAAGCTGATCATGATGCAAGTTGCCTACATACCGAGTTTGAGCGAAATCAGAGGAAAAAAGTTGAATTTATTGATTTTTGACCGGCTTTATCGATTATTGATTTTTTTTAAATTTTCGATTTTTACGCTAAGAACTTATCTCTTACATACAAAGTATGCGCCAGGTTTGGTCAAAATCGGTTGGATGGATCTCGAGTGAAAAGGTATAACACAAACAGACCAACAGACACACAGGTATCCTCAGTTTTATATATAGAGATGAATATGCATTTTTGTTTGTATTCACAATGTCTGTTAACTTTTGTTTTTTTGTTTTTTTTGTTTGTTTTTTTTTTTTAATTTCACTCCGAGCAAGGCAGTAAAGCCACTGACGCTCAAGAGGTTACTGGTTGTAAAATAATAATTAAAAAAAAACATTATTAAGTAGCGAAAACAATAAAAGAGGAATAAAGACAATGGATAGCGATTGAAATTGCATTTATATTTTTGTAGATCCAAGTTGTCTGCAAAGTCAGAAGCCGGAAGGGCGTTACACAATCAAAAAGTGTGGAAGAAGAAATGTTAGCATATAACTAACTTTTTACATTTAGCCATTTCAACTGTAAAATGACGGGGCATTGTCTCCAATCTAATACTGCGCTTAAATTCATAAAGACTAGGAAACATAGCGGAAAATTCATCAGAAAGGCACAGGGAAGCTATTATTACGGCGGTATCAACAAGACTGAAGCCAAGATGCCAGGTCAGGACCAATAACTTAGCAGATTCTTCTTTGGATTTTATCAATATAATATTTTCTAAATATAAAGCCGGAGCACCGAACTATATGTGGCAGCAATATTCAAATCATGGACGAATGGTAGACTTATAAATATTTAAGCTAGATTCTGGGGAGAAGATTTGCCTAGCACGAGAATGAACAAACTTTCTTATCAGCCGACCTAGCAACAGATTCAATATAATCTTTCCACTTCATGTCAGCAGAGACTGTCAGCCTGACATGGCACAAATTAATCTCCTGGAGGTTAACACCAGCCGTGTGGTTGAATAGCAGAAAGGGGCCTCTGTTAGATTGTATATGTTCCTCAGTATGAAAGGTTAAATGCCAAATAATAGTAACCTCTTGGCTATCTGCGACTGATTCAGAGAGATGTTCACACAATTTTTCAGTATTTGACCCTCTATAATATTGATACATCTTCTAATGAATATACTACCCAATCTTGTCATCTCGATATTTGTATTTCAAAAACGATTCCCTCCATCTAAACCAATGAGAATTGACCTCATTCTCCTCTACACGTACAAACACATGACAACCTCACAATCGGACAGGCAATGAATACGTGGGTTGTCTAAAATGTCGTCTCCTTTCTTTTGTCAGTCCACAATAACATTTGTTCCTTCGTATTTACCCAGAGTTATAACTCCGTTACAGTATCAATATTTTGGTTACCTAATCCATATCTTGGGTCTGCGATAATCTTATTTGTATTTGCCTTGTAATTCCTAATAAAGAGCCTTTGGTCCTGTGCAACCATTTTAATAGCATCCGTCTCTGCTTTTTAGTCCTTCACTCTTCGGTCATTGATGAGTTTTATGTCCATCAGCATTGTTGTTTCTGACTGCATATTGGTCAAAGAAAAATATATATGCTCCCATGCGTATTTTAAATTGTTTAAACCATATTTCTTAATGTCCTTATTTAATAATTTTAGCGGCATTCGTTGGTGGCATGTTTTCATTTATTTCCTTCATATGGACGTTGAGTCCTTTTTAGTATTTGTTATTTTCTTTTACTTTTCTCATGACTGTGAACAATTTCTTGCCCCCAGTCAAATGCGGTCTTTATTATTATCACTTCCTGGTTTGGAATTCGGAGTCATACTTAGGTTACAATTCGAGGCTAGAGAGATCAGTCTACCCTGCTATTTAAATCCTAGCTAGGAAAAGAAAAACAGAATAATGCTTTTCTCAAGGACATTTATGCGAAAATGAATGCAACAGAATAGCCCAGGATTAGAACCTGGATGGCTGATTCTACTCTCTGCGCTGATATCCGTTACAGTACCAGCCCATCCCTTTCCATATTATGCATATACCATTGTTTTTTTATGGTTACACCTTATTTACTTGCAGAGTTCTCAGTCAATCACCCTTCCTCCCCGGTCAAGTCTATTTTTATGTTCCTTTTGAATCATTTGTTTTATTCGTTTATTGTATGATTGATACTTTCATCTGCGTAGTCGGTATTTTATTTTCTGCTGTGTTGTCTTTCTCAGATTTGTTCTATATTATTATTTTTATTATTATTATTACAAGGTCGGATCACCTCCAGGACGATAGCTTGAGAACACTAATTACTACGCGATAGTCTATTCATGTGCGCGATTAAACGCCACAGAAATCCTTTTAAGTATTTTCAATTCATTCGTCGTTTATTCTATGGTTTTATTTCTTTCTTTCATAGCCTTTTCTTCTTTATTATCTGAGTTAGCATTTTTGTTTTCTTCTTAAGCTTCGCTTTGAGGTATGCGTTTTATCATTTGGCTTTCTTTTCGGCTTTCTATATATTGTATTCCCGTGTTCTTACCCGTTTGATCATTTTTAGATGAAAGAAAATTAATAAAATAAAACCATGGGAAAATTATTAATCCAACAGTTACTCATTCCTGGGTATGACGATAAACTACATCTAGCAGAAAAGCCTCTGATCGGGAGATTGGAGGTTCTGAAGAACGTGCAACTACTTCTTAATTACTGTTGTTCCCAGTTCCACCCTGACCCTGTGAAGTAGCACTTGTTAGTGTCACAGCTACGGTCAAATAGTGACCCCCTCCAAACATAAACAGTACTATGTAAATATAAAAATACATTATATATTTTTATATTCAAACAATTACTAACTATACATATAGTAAATTTACTAACAATATATTTTTATAGAAAAACGACCAACAGTACATTTTATCTATAGTTGAAGCCATAAAATTGTTTTCAAAATGTTTAGATTTCGGCATTAAATAACCACTTGATATTGATATGCCGCTAAACAAAATCAACCAACCAGCCAACCAGCCAACTAGCCAACATGAAAGAACTCTTTCATGACATTAATTCATGTAATATCCTACAATTCCTTAAAGAAATCAAACTGTATTCCAAAATATAACTTTAAAAAAAACTACAACATAAGATACACATATCACCGTCTCTCGTAATTGTCTACACAAACAGGTATATGTACAAAAGCTGAGTATCATCTGCCATGTATTCGGTTGTGAAAAAAAAAATAACATATTTTATTACTTCAAAGCTCCCAAGAAAATTAAATGAAATGACCCGTAAAGGAGTTGATATGCAATCAAATCAAATCAAATCCAATATTTATTCTCTTAGGATTTGTAATGCTGCGCATTCGCAAATAGTTTTTAATTAATTATGTTTTCTGTATTTTAAATTTTATATGTCACAGAATAATGTTCCAGTAAAAAAATATATCATATAATCATTTTTTCTTTCTATTTTAATTCTGCAAACTCAAAGATTTACTGATCATTTGATTTAATAACAAACTTAATTTGGAAAAATAATTAACAAATAAATGCTTGACAGAAACCATTCTTGAAAGTGTTAAAAGCAAGTGACATGTAGATGAATAAAGAGGCGTAGAATAAAGGCTTTAATAGGGAAAGGTTTTAAAAAAATGTTATTACAAGTAACTAGTTGATAATAGTCATTATCACAGACTTCAGCTTTATTCCGCCATCTATTTACTTAGGAGAAATAACAAAAAGATAAAATGAAATTAAGTCTTACGAAGGACAGGGAATTATAGAGAGCCATGATCGCCTATATCCTGAAAGGACAAGGCATGTAAAGAATATATATGTATATTCATCGTAGTAGTAGTCGGTACCCGCTCGTATCCGATCATCGGGATCGTTATTCTCTCTCCTTATTCTCTTTCTTCTTTCTGTGGCGGAGATGGCTGTGAAGCCCCGGCTTACTCCTGAAAAGTAGTCAAAGAGAGTTTGACGAGGCCATTTGCGTGAATTTGATTTTGGTAAACAGCTCTGCGCGATGGAGAAGCCCACTTGGCCAGAAGCGCCTCCCTCGCGGCTCAAAATTGAGACAGATGAGATCTGGTAAACCGACATGCATCGGGCTGTCGGATGCTTGGCCTGTCAAGGTCCGCCTTGGGTACGCCAGCCCGACCGTAGTTGCCCTTCTTCCACCAGTCTCGTCGTTGAGATCGTGTAGATTTTTACCTATTACGCTGTTGGGGTCTTCAGGGTTTGGTCGCATTCAGTCTCCTAGACCTTACCGCCATGGTTGGCCCTACAGGAGTTGGAACTTCAGACGGCTTCGCTCTTGGGATCACTGGGACATATATAATTGTAGTCTGACTGTGAATTCATAAAATGTGTATGCTTATTGGATTCTTCCTAAAGAGTTTGCCAGTACGGTAGAAGAGCTTGTTCTATATATTCAAAAAAATTTAAAACTCGAGTATTCTAATTTTAAAACCATAATCATGCTTCAATCAATGTCGAACTTTTTTTTCAAAAAATTTTACATTTTTTTCTATTGGTCTACTAGGGTTTATCAGGAATAGTAGGATTTATTTAACTAACCGATTAGAACGAGTGTAGAACTTCCAATTGTAATTAAGTATACTTGCAATTAAAACGTTAAATATTTCTCGAACCAAAACAAATTACTAAATACACGATCAGAACTCATCTCAAAATGCAAACATGAAAACAAATTTTTACTATGTTATTTAAAAATCGAAAGCTGAAAAGAATAAATAAATAGAAATAAATAATAAAAAAGTAAAATAAATTAATCCAAGCAAATAATAAACAAATTAACGAACCACTCCTGCCATAAGCATTAGAATAGACTGAAAAGAATAAATAAAAATAAAAAATAGGCAAAAACAAGTAAAAATAATCAATCAAAATAATTAAATAAATTAATTAAATATTGACAAATTAACATACCATTCCCGCCAAAATAACCGTTAGAGTAGACTACAACAATAAATCTCAAAATTGGACGAAGAAAACAAACTACTAAATAAACGATCAGAACTCATCTCAAAAACATTACTCCTTACTATAGAATACTAAGAATAAAAAATAAGAAAAATAAATTAATCCAAATAAAGGAATAAACCACTCCCAATAAAATCACCGTTTGAATAGACTACCCACAATGCACCACTGTCCGTATATATAAACAGTCAGGAAAAAAACAACACATGTGACCTGATGCTTGCATTTAGCATGAAACAGTCTGTCGCATCTGAGTGTTGACTTCAAAGTACACTGATATATATATATATATATATATATATATATATATATATAGTTTAAAGGGATTCTATATTTATGGGATAAAGTGCTCAATAACAGAGATAGAGCGTATGTAAATATAAAAGTGAACATTGCACACTCAGAGGCAACAGGATGTTTCATACTAGATGCAATGATCCGACCTGACGATTGCGTCTAGCATGAAACAGCCTGTTACCTTTGAGTGTTGACTTCAATATTCACTGTTGTGTGCGTTTGTGTGTGTTAGAGAGAGATAAAATATAGTATTATGGTATGCTATATTTATGGGTAAAAGTGCTCAATATCAGGGATAGAGCGTATATAAACATAAAAGTGAACACTGAAATCAACACCCAGAAGCAGGTGTATGTTCCATGCTAAACGCAATCGTCAGACTATGGCTATTTCGTTTAGCATGAAACAGACTGTCGCACGCACCTGATGATGACTTGAGTAAAGTGTAAATTTCGGAGACGGCGATTGCTTTGATTTAGGGAATTGCTATATCTACAGCAGCCAGTTTTGCAAAAGATCGTTCGTAATTTTAAAAGATTGTCAATGTTAATTGACATGTCTGTACTTATCCATAAACTGCACACACACACACACACACACACACACACACACACACACACAGATAGATAGATAGATAGATAGATAGATAGATAGATGAAATAAATACGAAAGAGCCCAGGTTTCGCCTAAACGGATTTTCAGGGTAAGTTGTTCTACTTAACGCATTGATCACTCTACGTTTTAGCATTATTACTCTCTTGGTGTTTTTTTTTTTTTTTTTTGGGGGACTAAAAAAATGGTACTGGAGGATTTATTTGGACCTGTTCGGATGTTTCTTGTTCTTTTTTTTTCTAAGTTTTTTTCCACGGGTACCAATTTGTTTTGATAGACTTACAAGTTGTGCTGTCCGATTTTTTTTTTATAATATATATATATATATATATATATATATATATATATATATATATATATATATATATATATATATATATATATATATATATATATATATATATATATATATATATATATATATATATATATATATATATTCAAATGATTAAGGACACCACTGGTAATTTTTTAAATTGGCTCAAAAAGTAGTTGTTTTATATTTTTTCTACGTGGTTAAAAAAAAGTGATTAATGATTTGTTTTTATTAGAAATTTTATTATGACAAAAATATTTTATGATTCAATTTTGCCCTCGTCAAAATACCCTTCGTTAGCTTTTAGTGCAGCACAGATTTTTGGCAGTCTTTGTAAAAGTTTCTCAAAGTATAACTTTGTAAATTGATTCCATTCATTTTTCAATGACTCAAATATTTATTTTTCATTTTTTTTTTTTCACACATCTGTCAATGCCAACTCTGGAGATGACTTCACACTTTTGAAATGTAGTTTATACATATATATATATATATATATATATATATATATATATATATATATATATATATATATATATATATATTATGTATATATTAAGGACACAGGATCTTGATGCGTGATACATTTCTATGTAAAACTTATATTCTTTGTTTCATTTCGATATGTAAAACTATTGTGTACTTTAGATTACATTAGCAAAAGTTTTTGTGGTCAGCCACATTCCTTTCCGGTCTTTTGAACAGGAGCATAAGCTTATCCTTTATTTTCTGTTTAGGACTGGGTTTCCAGTTCTTTCTGATGTTTCAGATCTTTACTCCTAACGGGTTAAATTTTATTCCCTAATTATATATTTTATTTTTTCTTTCCATCACTAATAGGAGTATCGTCCCACTTCTCCCCTGTTCACACTCCTCCCCGGTTCACACACTATCCCAGCGTTTCGAACAGGAGTAGATGTTTATCGTTTGTTTCCTGTTTAAGATTGGGTGTCCTGTTCCTTCTAAAGTCTACTTCAACTCTATACTTCTAACGCTTGTCCTTTCCTATGCTAATACAACTCCACGCAATAACCCCCTACCTTGAGTGGATCTTGGGTCATATATTGGTTAAACATTAGTAAAAAAAAATACGCTGCCGAACATATTATTTCAAATCGCATTCTCCTGATCGTTACGGTAATGTGAGAAGACTTACTCTCACTTGATTTCAAGCGATGGCCATTGGCTAGTAGTTAAAGTGAACATATAATAATAATAATAATAATAATAATAATAATAATAATAATAATAATAATAAACTATCAGAATACAAGAACCTTGAAATCGAAATCTCAAAAATGTGGCCCATGAGGACATTAACAATTCCAGTTGTAGTTGGAACACTCGGATTTACTGGAAATGATTACAATAGACTCATTGAAGGAATCCGAGGTAGCCTATGTCTTAAAGAAAAAAAATGTACTCACAGGTACAGCCCACATCTTACGAAGGGCTTTATCGATGTAAAATATGTGATTTTTTTTCAAAAATGTTAGTGAAAAATGTCATGATGCCATTTCTGACCTTAGGCTTGGTCGGAAAATGGAAAGAAATGAGTACACACCAGAACTCAAATGAATAATAATAGTAATAATAATAATAATAATAATAATAATAATAATAATAACCCAAAGAGACATACAGAAAATTGTCTTATTAAGTACAGCACACACACTAAGGAGAACTTTGTCTATGTAACGCTAGCAACTTCATCGGAGATAAAAAAAAAAAAAAAAAAAAAAAAAAATAAATTAAATGTCAACACACCACTCCTTTCTTTCCCGCAACTTAGGTAGTGTGTCCAAGCACGAATGATGATGATGATAATAATAATAATAATAATCTACCAATTACATAACAAAAGTCTCATCTCTTTCTCCAAAGAAAGACATTTGAAATTTATTATTCTATTTCTTCCCACCTCTCTCTCTCTCTTTCTCTCTCTCTCTCTCTCTATCTATCTATCTATCTATCTATCTATCTATCTATCTATCTCCCTGTCTCCCTCTCTCTAAAAACTGAAAGATAGCCGAACATAATTTACATTTTTCTGTTTTGGAACATGAAGACATTACTCAATTATCTTTCTCAAATTACCTATACGAAAAGTATGCTTGATAAAATTGAATATATCAACATCTTTGTATATAAAATGAACCTCACCAAAAACTCTATTATTTCACCGCGTGTTCTAATCCTATCTTCAGCCACTTATATTACAGCTGATTTGCATATTCAATGAATGCAAATAAATTCATAACATTACCACTTTAATATTACGCAGGCATTTTTTTTTTAATTTCAGACAAAGACGCGATTCATACACATTAGATACTCTTAGGACCAGACATGGTTGCTTTAACTTTGGCAACGGCACAGAATTGAACGAATTCATAAACGTCCCAAAATGTTAGATGCTGTTCGCGCCTATTCTTTACCTGGTATTGTTTGGCTGGGAACCCTCATCAAAGAGTTGGTTCTGATCAAACGGAAAATGTTAAAATTAATGGGACCCACCAATTGTGCACTTTTTCATGCGAAAACTTTTGGAACCTAGCCAGATCTGATACAGCTAACATATGCTTGATCACACATATATATCCACTTATATAGACACAAAAACCGGGCAAAAAACACGCAGCCACACACACAGACGCAGACACACACACTTAGCTATAGATAAAGACATACACAATGCAAAAGCAGACGTGCAGACATGGCCGTACGTATTACACTTTTATATATCGTTTTCGCTGCACATATAAAATAAATCGTGTACGTGTTTGTAAATATGTGTGTCAGCGTATATGTGTTTGTGTATATATATATGTCTGTAAATTTGTATATGCATGTATATATGTGCCTATGTTATATTTTTGTGTATTCTCATAATTGTATGCATGTTTTTTTTCTGTGTGAGATATGATGTCTGCTTGTCTAAAAATATACAAAAAATAAACACCAGAACAGACTCAAGACACACACACGTACGTACACACACACACATATATATATATATGTGTGTGTGTGTGTGTGTGTGTGTGTGTGTGTGTTAAACATTGTATATTTAAGCAGTCATCCTTCGGTCAAACATGTTTTATTCAATAGAACGGAAAAGGAATGCCTTTCAGTAAATTTCTTCCAGACTCAAATAAGTCGTTTGATGTGAGGTGGAAACTAATACGATAATGGTAATCGTGAGATTAACCGTTCCCTTATAAGGAAACATTCGTCAATTATTGACAGAATCCGCGTTACTGTCGGTTGAAATTTATAAACTCTTTCTTGTAAAACAGATTTTCAGGAAAATATTTTTCTCAACTTCACTGTCTGCGCTCTTTCTAAAATTGATGCGACATTTCTTCCTCACCGTTTTTAAGTTGTGCGTAAAGTCAAAAATCGTCATTATTTACTCTTCGAGTTACATATGCTATCCATTTTAATTGTTGCTACTTTTGAAAGTCTTCAAGTGTTTTGCTTTTTTTTTGTAATCTAGTAAATTTTTTTGTTTGTGATTCTGTAGCGCCAATCGATGAGATCTGATGAAAAAGAGTCATTTCGTTAAGATCTACAGGATTTTTTTTATTAGCTTGAAGCCATTTAAACATTGATCTAAGAAAAGAATATATATATATGAAGGCGTATATGTCTATATAGATAGATAGATAGATAGATAGATAACTCCACTACTTAAAAAACAAGGAATATTTCAACTTCTTTGTGATAAAATGTTTTTCATATTTCGCTCATTTTTTCGTTTTTGTTTGCATTCTCTCACAGTAATTTTGACCGACATATTCAACGACTTTCAAACGAATTCAGATTGTAGACGAATTTTGTCTCATGTCCTTCCATATCAGATGGTAACTTCTTTATATCGTTATAAACTGCGCTTCTCAGCTTTTACTCTTACTGCTCATACAATAGGTTCCTTCAGAAACCCTCTACTTTGAGTGGCTCTTGGGCCTTCTTTTAAGTAAATTTCAATAAAAGAAAAAATATATATATATTAACTATTATATAATAATATTGTCTTTTTGTCCACAAATATCGGTTGACCACATTATTTCATGAAGATAACGATTTTAAAGTAGTCATCTTTTGAAATGCTTAATACCATAAGTTAGAGAATTAATAGTAACAAATAAAATTAAATGTCCATATATATATATATATATATATATATATATATATATATATATAACACGCTATCTCCCAGAAACTGTAACTAAGGTCTGCTCAGTATAATTGCAGTATAAACCACAGGTTGCTTCTGTGGGTGTTGAACAAAAACAAATGTGCCTGAGCAGACCACCCTAATAGACAGGTATCTTCGAATATATATATATATATATATATATATATATATATATATATATATATATATATATATATATATATATATATATATATATATATATATATATATGTTTTTTCAACTGACTTGAAGTGTGACAACTATATTGCATCAATAGCTGCATCTATTGCAAGAAAATTTGTTTCATTGTGTTTTACCAGAAGTTTTTTTTGTTCTCGTCAGGTTTATCATACACATTTACAAATCTACCATTCGTCCGTGCATGGAATACATGGAGTCCGTGCATATCTGGCCTGATGCCCTTGCTGTTCATCTCGAGGTTCTTGACCAAATCCCAAGAAGAATCTGCAATGTAAGCGATCCTGAGCAGGCACCTCCACTTCAGTCACATTCTCACAGACTTGATGTGGCTTCCACCTGTCCTTTCTACAAATATTTTCATGGCAATTTTTCTTACGGGCTATTTTCACTAAGCGTGCTACTAGATTGGCATCTAGGTCCCAACCGTTCACTGTTAAAATAGTTAAATGTCTACGCCATTTCTACTCCAACAGTTTCTTTTCCTGCACTTCCCAACAGTGGAACTCCCTTCCGCTTTCTTGCTTCCCTGATAACTACAATGTTCAAAAATTTAAATGTAACATCATTCGCCGTTTTCTGTTGACATGAACCCCGTTCATCTTTTATCATTTCCTCAATCCCTGCTATAATCAATTTTTTCTTTCATTCTCTATAACAGCCAGCGTACTAGTGGCACTCATGCCTTGCTTGGGATGAAATGATCATATATATATATATAGGGCTGTTGCGCACTACTCACCGGACAGCAGACCGGGTTGCAGGCCTACGGTTTTATACGTTACAAATTAAGCAATAATGACTATTAAAGGATGATTTTGACGTTATCTTGGGTTTTTTATTTTTGTTCAAATGTGTGAATTTGTTTTACTTATTAAAGTCTCGAAAAAATACTATATAAAATTCACTATATTTTATACATAAAGTTGAAAGCGTCAAAATTACTCAACAATTTAACAAGAAAAATCTCAAGTTAATATTAAAATTGCCGCAAAACATTATTGATTTATTTAAGATGGAATAATCTATTATGACATGTCTCTAATTTAATACATTATGACAGGGCTCTAATTTGATACATTGCATTTATTTTCAGTTTTTCTAGTTGAATTATTCAACTATATTGCATATACGATTCATTATCGTACATAAGTTGGTTACAATAAAATATGAATCTTATATGAATACCTCCTTATGAAAATCGAGATATAGTTGAGTGGGGCCCCGTATAATAGATTGGGGGACGTGTTTTAGATTCAGTGTGACCCGCAAGACCATTTCACCACCCGGTAGATATATATATATATATATATATATATATATATATATATATATGCGTATATTTTGGTAGAATGTTTTTAAGACATGTCTCATTGAATAATTTAGACAAATTTTGTGTACTTATTTTTAATAAGATCCTCTCATATTCATGAGTAAGCTTCTTAATATCCTTATTTACAACTGCATTCCTCTCCACATTCGCGATTTAGAAAAAGTCTCCTTGAAAATACATCTATAATTTTTCATGAAAATAATAAACATAGCCAAAAACTCTTGAAGCCATGTATATTAACATACTGAAACCAATCCATAATAAAATTAATTATGAATACTGCACAAACGTTTTTAAATGTTTACGGTAGATAGTTTAAAATATTCAGGTATTAACTAATATTATTTTTGTTTTTTAAAAAAGATACGGTCATTTCAAACATTGTTACCTCCCCTAATGTTTCAAGCGTAAAATTTAAACAGTACATAAACTTAGCGTTTTTCACATCAGAGTTAAAAATAAAATATTAACTTTCAGATGAACACAACAATTTTGTCTTCGAAAAAAGAATACACCCTGACAATAACATTGTGTTAATGTCGAGAGTACACGAAATAAATGAATATATATCAACATAGTAATTTTGAATTTTCTTTAATAAATACACTAAGAGGCGTGTCCGTGAATATGAGAGGTTCCTATCGGAAAGAAGTAGACAAAACTTGTCTAAGCTGTTCAATGTGACATGTCTTTATATATATATATATATATATATATATATATATATATATATATATATATATATATACAAACACACACACACATATATATATATATATATACAAACACACACATACACACACACACACACACACACATATATATATATATATATATATATATATATATATCCTATACGGTACTGTCATATAGCCTGACGTGCTATGCCATTTAGATACAGAGGAAGCATCTGGTTATCAAAGTGAAATTACTGTTTTTAAAATTTCCCATGATGTTCGACAATTACTTTAATATATTTTTAATATATTGCACCTATAAAAATAACATATAAAAAAAATATATTAAAATAATTTTCGGACTTTGTCCATTTCATAATATATGTTGTCATTTGTTTACGTTAAAATAAGCTTCGAGAAGATATGAGCGTTCGAGACAAATCATGGGAAATTTGTTGTTTAAAAACAGTCGCATATATATATAATATAATATAATATAATATAATATAATATAATATAAATAGCTCAAACACTAATATTCCATGATTATAATTTATTACATTGGAATCGTAATCACGATCCAATTCATCAGAACGACAAATACATGCTCTGTCTTGTTCATAGAGCTCTACGTAGATTTTATCCTCTTGGAAATATATATACATATTGACCACTAATATATATATATATATATATATATATATATAAAGTGAACATCTCGGTTATTAAATAACAAAACTATTAAATAAGCGACCCAAACAAATTTTTAACACGTTAAAAAACACGGATTAAAATAAAAATAAAAAATTATATAAGATAAGAAATAAAAATAAAAAAATAAAAATAAAAAATAAAAATAAATAAAAACAAGCAAAATAATTTAACCCAAATAAATAAATAAACGACTTCCGGTAAAATAACCGCCAAAATAGAATACCCACAATGCAACACTGACCCGTATATATAAATAGCCGAGAAAAATAACAGCACTCGTGGCCTGACGATTGCATCTAGCATGAAAATGAGTGTCGCCTCGAAGTGTTGACTTCTATGTTCAATTTTATTTCTTTCTGCGGTAGACCAATTGCCATCTAAGGCTATAGAACCCAGTCTGCCCTGTTATTTACCTATAGCTGGTGGGGGAGAAGAAGAGGATTTATACCTTCCCAAGGTTATTAGCACGTAAGTGAATGTAATGGATTCGACTGGAATTCGAACTCGGCTCTCCGATTCCTCAATCCGCTGATGTACTAAATTTCCATAATAAATACATTTCCGAAATAAATATATTTGCTGCGTCTTAACTTTTGACTCAGGTATGTGTAATTAGTAAATTTATGACCATTATGAACAATAAGTCAATTAGTTAAGCGTCATACGTGATACACAATTTGGCGATCATGTCCCTTTTAATTCATGGCTGACTAGTCAGTCGCCGTTTCTTTCTGTGTTTGACTGGTTACCACCCAAGGCTATAGAAGGAAAAAACATGGGAATGTAAGGAACCCGAATCATCTCGCCTATTTGTCATTGTGAAACTTTATCCATTACACTACAACGAGCATCCCAAAAATAATACATACTTATTTAAAATAAGCTTAAAAAATCATGTTTATTTATGTGTTTTCGAATTTTGATTGCCAATATATATATATATATATATATATATATATATATATATATATATATATATATATATATATATATATGCAGACACACTCCTCGAGATATCCCAGTGTACGTAGGTAAATCAATACGTCTGCAGCCTCATGAGGAAAAAGGATTTCTTTTAATCATAAAATATTTATTTATCACCATCAGCCAACATCATCATTTTCCATTTCAACGTACGTAACCCATCAATACTCTATTGACCTTAAAACCTTGGACATTATAGAGTAAAAATGACAACTCAAAACTTAGTTAAAAACAATGCCAATCAACGAACATACTGACGTCTTATAAGATAGATAGATAGATGAATAGATAGATAGATAGATAGATAGATGAATAGATAGATAGATAAATGAATCTACTGAGATAGATAGATAGATAGATAGATAGATAGATAGATAGATAGATAGATAGATAGATAGAAATCTACTGAAATAGATAGATAGATAGATAGATAGATAGATATAGATAATAGATAGATAGATAATAGATAGATAGATATGAATCTATGAGATAGATAGATAGATAGATAGATAGATAGATAGATAGATAGATCTACTAAGGAATCTATGAGATAGATAGATAGATAGATAGATAGATAGATAGATAGATAGATAAGGAATCTACTGAGATAGATAGATAGATAGATAGATAGATAGATAGATGAATAGATAGATAGATAAGGAATCTACTGAGATAGATAGATAGATAGATAGATAGATAGATAGATAGATAGATAGATAGAAATCTACTGAAATAGATAGATAGATAGATAGATAGATAGATAGATAGATAGATAGATAGATATGAATATGCTGGCATAGATAGATAGATAGATAGATAGATAGATAGATAGATAGATAAGGAATCTACTGAGATAGATAGATAGATAGATAGATAGATAGATAGATAGATAGATAGATAGATAGATAGATAGATAAGGAATCTACTGAGATAGATAGATAGATAGATAGATAGATAGATAGATAGATAGATAGATAGATAGATAGAAATCTACTGAAATAGATAGATAGATAGATAGATAGATAGATAGATAGCATATAGAGTAATACTTATTTCCCTCTTTCAGACGTTCATTAGTCCAGTGTGTCACTACACCCTTCACGAGTCAAAATTACTGGTTGAGGCGCGACACCAACAGTTACTTTTCAATGTTGATTTCTATGCCCACGCTGTCTATATTTAAAAACGCTGCATCTGTGATACTCAGCATTCTTCCTCTATAAATATAGTAAATTTTACACAAGCGATTATATTTATTTCCTTATCAAAGACAATATATCATTTTTCAATATATCTCCCCACAGGACAGAATTCAAAGATGTGGATCCGATCCTTTCTCATAAGTAATAGTGCTAAGTTGAAGTAAACAACTTTAGTCAAAACAGATCCAGAAAAATTCAGGTTTCCGGATAGGTTTTCCGTTTCTATATCTGTTACGCCACTTCGCTCCTCTGCTTGGTAATATGCGCATGCGCTAATCTATAAAAGCAGAACGCACATCAGCGTGTTTGCGTGTGGGCGGAGGCAATGTATTTAAAGTTTCTTCCCGCGTGATGCTTTCATTAAATCCTGTATCAGCGTGCCACATTTGTCGGCTTCTTTCGACAAGTGATTCCCATAAAAACGAACTTTTATTTTTACCGCTTCATTTCAGTACGTTATGTTTCTGTCCGTTAATATCGTTATCGGTTTGTCCGGCTAAACACAATAAAACCGCCCCACCGCCGCCTTTTTCCTGATACACGTGTCCCTAAACTTGAAAGCACAAACTGACGAACCTTTTACATATTGTAAATACGGCTACAGTGAGTCCGTAAATCATACCCTCAGTCCAGCTAATTCTAGAAGTTGCAGCTTATTTTCTCTGGCATACTGTCTGATCCCTGATCCTGTCTGAACGACAGAAATTTACTATATTTATAGAGGAAGAATTCTGAGAATCACAGATGCAGCGTTTCTAAATATAGACAGCGTGGGTATCTATCTATGCCAGCATATTCATATCTATCTATCTATCTATCTATCTATCTATCTATCTATCTATTTCAGTATATTCATATCTATCTATCTATCTATCTATCTATTTCAGCGAAGAGACGCTGCCTCGGAGATGCTGCCTCGGAGAAGCTGCCTCGGAGACGCTGCCTCGGAGACTGATCACCAGTTATGATGTGTGTTAATGTCCATTCAGGAGGTAGGTGATAATGACTCCACACAGATTCCTTTTTTAATATCTATGAAACGCACTTTTAGGAAAGATAGTGGCGTGGTTCCCCATTGCTTTCAACAAAATTTAGAGTTCCTTTCTTTTAAACTCGCTAGCGCCTATGGCTAGAGAGCACAGTCTATTCTACTATCTAAAGGTCACATTGCACAGTGGATAAAGGCGTAAGTTATATTCAGTGACAGGACGCAAAGAGTGTGAGTTCAATACCTGGTTAAGGCGGTGGAGAACTTGGAAAGGGGAATTAACAGGAATTAACTGATAACTGACATCCATTAGACATGGTACGTGGAACTAGAACAGTCTACCCCAGTGAGCGAAGTAAAGGGTTCAGTTTGACATTTCAACCGCCTTAAGAAGGCCGGAGCGTACAACGGCTGAAACGTTGTGATAAATATGACAACAAAGATGAGGACAATAGTCCGAATAATGTAAATAGTGTATATAATGCCTCGTCTCAGAAACATGGACAGATCCTAAAGGCCGAAACGTTGTAATAAATACGGCGACAAAGATGAGGACAATAGTCCGAATAATGTAAATAGTGTACATAATACCTCATCTCAGAAATATAGACAGATACTAAAACATTTAAGTTATTCATTTTCATTACATCAATACGTTACCACATGAAAGATGGATTATTTCTGCTTTTATGTCTGATTTTGAAGAATTACTATTGAATATTTACTCTAAAACTCAGATATAATTTACTGAAGATATAATACAAATATTTAAAAGCACAACACAGAATTCATCATTACACGACAAATAACCCGCACTTGAAATTACAAAATAAAATCTGAATGCCCACTCAATTGAAAATTCTCACGAACCAACGTATTATAGGTAAACACATAAAATATAAATGGGAATAAGAAAATATCCTTGGAATCAGAGAAGCTACTCACGCGAAACATTTTAATAGTAAAAATAAGCAAATACCACAAAACTCTCTAAATATATATGGGATCTCAAAACTATAACCCCTAAATATAACAAAATAACATGGAAAATAAAATTCAAATGACTATTTTTCAACTCCATAAAAAATGTAACCATTTCCTAGATGATAAATTATATTCATCTTTCCAGAAATATTAAAATTCATGAGCAAAGTCTCAAAATTGGATTTTAATTTTCAAATAACGCCACAGATTCTAGATTGGTTTTAATCTGGGTACTGACTTGGCCATTTCAAGATATTTACATTATTTTCAGCAAGTCATTTCTTCATAGACTTTGAAGTGTGGTTAGGGTCATTATCTTGTTGGAAGATCCAATCAAATATATATATATATATATATATATATATATATATATATATATATATATATTATATATTTCGTCCTAGGTATGACTATAAACTACATCGAACAGAAAGATCTCTGATCGGGAGATTGGAGGTTTTGACGAGCGTGAAACCTCCTTTTACCTGCTGTTGTTCCCACGTTCTCCTTTATCCGGGGTGGTGCCACCTGTTGGGGACCCAGCTATAGGCAAATAGTGAACCCCGTAACAAAAATCAATTGTACATTTTTATAATAAATTCAACAACAATATATTTTTATTGTAAAAACAAAGGCAACATTATGAAAATAAATTTTTATAATAAAATTACTAATGATACATTCTATGATCTATAAATTATATATTTAAAAAATATACCTTTGCTCTGAAAGCGTTAAATTATGTAAAAACTATTTGTACTTGAGAGCATAAAATTTATTAAATAACCCATAGAGGTCGTTATGCCGCTAAAGAAAATCAACTAACAAAGACACATATATGCACTGTTTAAAATGGATTTCACTTCAAATAAAATGGACGATTGTACTGTGTCATTTACTTTCAGAAATAAAGTAAAGCTTTTAAGTTATTTCGTTTTATTCTTAATTTATTTATTTAGCCACTCATTGATGAGAGAACAGTGAGAGTCAGTTTGGCGGCGGCTTCTAAAACTGAACACTTCAATCTCCAGAGACCAATACTACTACGCTTAAAATTAAGCCTGCACGCTCAGAAAATATACATATTTATTTGATAGTAAGGTCGACATTTTCCGGTTCAAAAAATTCTGCAATTATTATTAATATTTTTTTTGAAAAGGGAAATCAATGATTCTCACGTTTATAGATATTTTTTTTTCGACTTGCATGGTTTGTGAGTTTCGAAAATTCATCCAGGAAAATAATTTTTGTAATTTTTCAGCAGTTGTTCTTTTTTGTTATATATATATATATATATATATATATATATATATATATATATATATATATATATATATATAATTTTTAAATTCAAAATAAATTTGGTTCTCTGAAAATAAATAAAATATAAATATATTCGGTCTTGTAACAGACGACACTTCGTCGCAGTCCCTTGTCTTCAATTGGATTTACTTGGAAAATGTTCTAACGATGGTTGATGGATTAATGCTGTGGAATTACTCGTTTTATTTCGTTGTCTGCATTTTTTCAATTTCAAAATTTCTTCTGTCGCTTTTATTCATGTTCTTTTCCTTTTTTTTAATTCCCATAATCATTCTCTGATTTCTTGGAATTCAGTCCATTTTTCTACATTTTTTTCTCTTTCCTCTCCCACACTCTCTCCCCCTTCCCTCTCTCTCTCTCTCTCTCTCTCTCTCTCTCTCTCTCTCTCTGCATTTTTCCTTCTTGTCACTTTCTTTTTTTCTTTTATTACCCTTTCTTAAGCGATTTTCTCTTCGCATTTATTTCGATGGGTTTCGATGGTACCATCTTCTATCTGAATGAAAATATTCCGTTTATTTTGTTTTTTCTACTGAAAATACAGAAATTCAGAGAAAAGCCTGGTTCCCTTTCTTCTTCTTCCTTTTATTGCTTACCCTCTTCCTTCTTCTGTTTGTCTTTCTCCTCTTCTTACTCCACCCTTATCTCTTTCCTCATAACCTTTCTCTTATTCCTCCTCCTTCCCTTCTTTTTCTCTTTCCCCTCGTCTTATTTATCTTCTATATTATAAGATGAATCTGTCCCCTATTGTCGTCATTGTCTAAACTGTTTACTTCCTTAGATAATATTTAATTCTATTTTCTGTTTTCCCGGCCTTCGTCTTCAGGATTTTCTAAGCCTGTTTATTTTTTTTTGTTTATTCTACTCAACAGCTCACATATACTCTTTGATTTTTAAGTCTTTCTATATCATCTATCTTCTCTCTGTTCTATCAAGTACTACAAACGACAAACATAATTCTTTTACTTTTATTTTTTATTTCTTTATAAAAACAAAAACTCAAGTCTCCGTTCACTTTTGGATATATCCGGAACTAAAAATAGTTGCCTCGTTTTCAAACTTCAAATTCAAGACATTGATCTGCAAAATCCTCTATCAAAATGAAAAATTAAAATTTTGAAAAAAATTATTTCCATTCTTATTCAGTTTTTACTATTATATTTTTGCCAACGTCGCCATTTTCCCAGTTTCTATTGAAGATTCACCTTCCCAGCGTATTTTACTAAATGTTAAACCCATAAAGTAAGAACATTTTAGTCGGTGGAGATAATTTAAACAGAATTTATTACTGGCTTATCGATGTTAAAAACCTATGTAGACAACCTTTTTTATTTAAATTTAAGAATAAAGGGACTGTAGTTATTTTTACTAACTGATGGTTAATTTTGTTGAATGTTAATGGCTTCAATGATAATTGATTTATCGAGTATTTTATTATTGTCAGAGAGGAGACACTTAAAATCAACTTGATTTTCTTTCTTTCTCTTTACTTTCTCACACTCCTAACGATGACTCATATGAGTCTAAAGTTTGGATCGAATAGAAATTTAGGCAACTTTTTACGTCTACAACATTTGCGAAATATTTATATTTAAAAAAAAGAAAAACAAAAAGTAAAGACGCAACTTCTAAATGACCCGATCTTTTTGATGATATTTTTGTTATAATAAAAAATAGATTTAATTATAAGTAAGAGGGTGTATTTATTGGATAAGACTTTAAACTACTTAGTTTTTTTTTTCTGTGTGGCTTCAGAACACTTTTATTTAAAATTGAAAATTTTATCTGGAGGCAGAAGTTGTTTTTTTTTTGTTTTTTTTTCTAATGATAGAATATTTATTAAATTTAATATATGAGCAGCCTTTTAATTAGAGAAATTATTTCTAAAAATTTTGAAAAATATTTTTTTTTCCAAAATATGGAAAACATTTAAAATAAATTGTATCTATGTAATATTTTGTTTAATCTCAAATGTGCAAGCCTTCGCGCTAATATATATATATATATATATATATATATATATATTATAAATTAATTGATTTAAAATATGTTTTTTTCGCTACACAGTTCTAACCATATCTTACTGTTCTTTCTTTTTATTTACATATACGCACACATATATCTACTCAAACATGATTTTAGAGGATACTCACTATAAAAATAACGCTATTCTTATTTATTAAACAATGTGTATTACAACTATCGGCCTGCGCATACGAGAAATCTTAAACGTGTGTAATACACACTGTTAAATGAATAGAAATGGGACGTCGGTTTCAAATATGGAGTAACCACTAAAATAAAGTTCGAAGTAATAAAAATGCCGAATTAAAAATAAATCCATTATTTCGCTATATATATATAGTAATTTTCTAAACGTAGCTTAGATGTGGCACAAGGGCGAAACTAGGGGGCACACAGTGAGGATCGAACTCACTACTCAGTCGTAATTGTTCTAGCAGATAATCTTGCGAACCATTACACCGTCTCATATATATATATATATATATATATATATATATATATATATATATATATATATATATATATATATATATATATATATATATATATATATATATATATATATATATATATATATATATATATATATATATATATATATATATATATATATATATATATATATATATATATATATATATAATTGAAAAAAAGAAACAGTCGCCAAGTATCTTCTTGTCGCTTGCTACAAACTGAATTTTAAGTGAAAAATATGTTTCTATTCCGAGAGTTTCTTTTCTCGTATTTTCTACCTTTGGAAATTCCTTCCGTGTCCTTGCTTCCCTGATACCTACAATCTTCAAAATGAGGGTAGTGGATTTGTATATCTGGAGGATCGACTCAGGGGAGAAAAACTTCCTAGCGCGACTCAGGGAGCCAACTTTTCGCTCACCGTTTTACTATTGAACTAGCTCGAGGTGACCGCCACTTCTCCATTCAGTTTCTTTTATTGCACTTCTCCCTTCCGTTTCATTGCTTCTCTCCCACCTACAATCTTCAAAAATTTAAATGCCACATCATCTCAATCATTTTCTTTCTTCCTGGATCCTGTTCCGTTATTGTTCTTTCTTCGGTCTTCATCGCTAAAGTCATTCTCTTTTCCTCCATTTAAATCCATGGGGCATTGTGGTCCTAACACATTGCCTAGGGTGACAAGATTGAAAAAAAAATGACGAAATATTAATGACTACATGTGGACGCTTTTTATATAGCTGAATTTTCGTGAACATATTGATAATCACATCACAAACAACTACAATGCAACTGGCAATATAAAACCAATTTTAATAGATAATACCAAAGTATTGCACCGTACTCACTTTAAAAAATGACTTAAGATTCTAGAAGCCATTTTAATGCAAATAAAACAACCAACATTAAATCAAATATATTTCTCTGGTACATTGAAGTGGTTATAAAATTTATCTGCGTACGAAATATTTAAATCGCATGAAAAAACGAATAATTTGGAGAAGGAAAAATCTGACAGTATCCAATGATGTTGGCTGGTTTTTTTTTTGCGCACACGCTGTTATTGATTAGAGTGTGGAATTGACAACTTTAAAAATTTCAGGCATATAAATATATATATATATATATATATATATATATATATATACAAGTCTGTTCCTATATATGCATACAAGCCTGTTTCGCTATATCACAGCGCATCCCATTGCTTCAAGCCGTGACCGAAACTCCACCGATTTGGTATTAGTCAGAGATTCTGTTCGGCAGGCAAAGGGAATTTTTGACGTATTATATACGTGATATATATAAACGCCAAAATCAGCCGCCAGGTCGCTTAATTCATAACTGAAGAGCGATACACACACACAGACACACACACACGCACACACACACACGCACACACACATATATATATATATATATATATATATATGTATCGTGGCCTGCCGATTGCATATAGCATGAAACAGACTGTCGCCTCTAAGTGTTGACTTCACTTATATACATATATATATATTATATATATATATATATATATATATATATATATATATATATATATATTGCGTGTGCATGCATGTTTGTGTGTGTGTGGTCAAAGCTAATGGTGATTTTATTGAATAAATTTACTCTAGTATTTCAACTAACTTTTGTTTAATTTTGACAAATATATCTATTAAAATGACATCTCAGTTTTATTTTTTTTTTTTTTATCCATCCGATATATATATATATATATATATATATATATATATATATATATATAAAAGTGAACACTTAATTTACTATCCTTTGCAGCTCTTAACAAATTTTGTCTTTTCGCCATCACTCCCAAACCCAGCACTGACATCCATTTACTCAAGCTCGCCAGGTAGCTTAGACGCTGTTTTCCTCTGCCTTTCTTGCGTTCTTCATGTCCTGTGAATATCAAATTTTCCAGTAACTCTTTTCTCATTATGTTCTCTAAAAACTTCAACTCTCTCTTCCTGATGTTGTTTCCATTTTATCTAGAAATTCGTCGTTGCGCACATATTCGATCCCTGTTATCCTCATCATCCTTCAGTAGAACTACATTTATGCTGCTTCAAGAATCTTCATCTGTGAGAAGATTGTCCAACATTCACCGCTAATTTGGAGGAATGATATTACATAACAGCTCAGTACTATCTGTTCATCTTTGAGGTGATTGTCCAACATTCACTGTCATATAGGGGGATATATATCACATAAAATTACAGTAATCGTTTGTTTGCTCCTAACGAAATTTTCCTGTTTCTTAATACTTTGCTTAGATTTTAGAAGACATTTTCTCTATCCTAATACTCCTTCCGAATTCAGTGTCGTATTTTTGTCCTCTGTTAAAACTCTTCCCAGATATTTAAATCGCTGTACTTGTTTGTTTTGGTATTTCCAATTAGTACCTTGCTTGTTGGACTGTTCCTTTTGCCAAACAACCATGCATTTCGTCTTTTTTCAGTTAGTCCTTTCTTCTCGCTTTCCTTCACTTACTTCTGTAGGAGTTCTTGTCTTTTCTTTTTATGTCTGCCACCATCACTGTGTCATCTGCATATCAAATGTTAAGATTGTGGTTGCCAATAATATATAGTTTAAAATTTGCTCTCCTTCCACCTCGAGCTGGAAAGATGGGGACAGACACCTCTGCATACACATACTATTATACATACATAGACACACACACATACACTCGGAATATATGAAGCAATTTCTAATGCTTTATTTATTAAGAAAATGGCCTGGAAGAATTAAGAAAGCAGCGAAATCAATCTCTACAGGATTATAACGTTTATCAGTCAACGTAAATTAAATCTACTGGATGTCCTCCATAGCATCTTCCTTCATGTATGTGACACCAGACCAGCCCCCACACACACACACGCACCCCCCCCCAATAATGCGGATATCGCTGATCATCATCATCACCAGCATAACCATTATCAGTTCGATGATTGGGTGTGGTCAAAAGATGGCTGCTTGGCTAAGCGCCTGACCAGCTCTCTCCACATATCGTGGGTGAAAGCCGGGGATGCATTCATTTATGCCTAGTGTGTCTTAGAGCAAAAAGATTTGGCGTAGCCCATCTCTCACCATGTCAAACCACACACGATGTCCTCCACCTTGAAGGCTTACCTTGCTCACTGTTACGGGCTTTGTATGAACAGACTTAGATAGATAGATAGATAGATAGATAGATAGATAGATAGATAGATAGATAGA